TTTTTATCAACTTTTGTGCTTTTAAAGGTCTCTGTATGGTTATTTCCTGCCACAATAACATGAAGAATGGATTGTGTTCGGTCATCATCACCTTCCGAGGAGACACCCAAAGCTTCACTGACCTCGCCAATATTATCAAACACCTAGTCCATACCCAAATCGTTTGTCGTCTCTAGGCAATCAGGATGCACAGTTGCTAAGGGTTCCATAATGTCCACGTCAAATTGATCAATATCCCAGGCAAGAGGACAGATCTGTTGAGAAGAAAACTGATCTTCAAACTCCTCCCCTTTGCTTTCAACACTGTTCTGATACAAGTTTAATTGCAGATTCAGCTCTGTTCCATGGTCATCCGTAAAATTTGTCATCAAATCATGGGTGTAATTAGTCCCAGTCACGGAGGGTAAACCATTTAAGCCTTTTAGAGCAACAAAGAGCTTAAGTTCGTTAAGTAAAGTCATGGCTAAATCATCTGTCAGCTTGAAATGAAGGTCCCGTCCTACACATACTATGACCCCGTTGGAACAACTAACACTTCCGGACGTGATCATTGAAGACAATGACTCTTTAGCCCGTGGAACAATGGCCTCAGAAAAACCCCTCTTATGATCCAAACAATACTCCACACCACCGCCACCATTTCCCATCACCTCACAAGTAGGGGTAGAAAATGAGCTCTTAGAATGAGAAACAGAGGTCAAACCTGGAGAAGGAGAAGGAGAAGGAGAAGGAGAGCATGCTACCCATTTATGTTTTTCAGTACGAGTCCATCGAGTGCCTTGGCGACTAGCTGAAGCAACCGGCAGTCTCCACTTTTCTTTCTCAGTCCGACGCTGAAATGAAGAAGAGGAGAGAGTTTGGTTTTGGATTTGAGCTTGAACCTGGGCTTGTCTTTTAGATGGATCTGGTTCGTTGAGAAAGGAAACAGAAAGTGAGTTGGGTCCTCTAAATACCCGTCTTTTAGTGTGGGCTGTCTTAGGCCCAAAGTCAGGCTTGAACTTGAGCCCATTCCTCCCAGACCCAAAACTTAACACTTTAGCTTGCCCTGAACCCCTCCAACCTAAATCAACCTTAGGCCAATTTGTGCGGCCCTACCCAACCTCTTCACCAACCCTTGTAGATAAGGATAGGGACGAATCTGGAAGTGAGCCTCTACGAGCGCCACGTGTAATTTTATTCTTGTCAGCTGCAACGCGCTTAACCGGCGCGTCTCGGCTACTTGATTCCTCGCACAAATTTTTTGAAGTTCTCTATCTTTCAGCCATTGTTGGACCTGTTGCACCGCTTCTTTCCCTTTGTTAAGAAGCGAATTCCATCCTTCCTCAGTCATAAGATGAGACCCGTCACTGCATTCAAGACTCTCTGTCGAGGGAACCAACTCCGGCGCGACTTCTTCCCAGATCGCCACCTTGTAACTGAAGGTGTCATCATTAATAAACACGAATTGCGGACAGGTCGATCCTATTCTCACTGTAATCCGAACGCTTTCGGCGTCCCTTGTTTCATCTGCAACAACTCCCATAAATCCGCCGCACAACTCCCCTACTTCAACAAATAAAGCATGACACCATAGGTGAAGGGGCAGTCCAAACATCCGGATCTGTTTGAGACCTTTGTCTCTAAGGACGCCGCAACAACCAACCCTAAAAGACCACACATCGATCCACAAGGTTGCAGATCCGCATTGACGCCGGCCTTCCTTCAACACACGTTGAGCTTTTGCTTGAGAAGGAAACCTGAATAGGAGCAACGAATCGGATAAGGGAGTAACCCCCACTCCACAGGACGTATTCCATGCTCACACCGCCCCTTCCTCCACCCGATCACATCCCCCAACTTCCTTGTCAAAACGACCGACCAAGCAAGGTGAGAGAACTGATTTCCTCCCTCTGACGGGCTCCTCGTCGATGTACAAAGACGGCCCTCGATGTGGAACTGCTGACTTCACATCCCTTCTCAGTGAAATTCTTGGAATCCTTGCAATTTCTAAAAAAGATTTCATCGCAAACTGAAACTGAAAAACAAAATCACGATCGCCTTGAAATCGCCCCTAGTGGGGTGAAATCGCCCATAGTGACATTCTAATTTAGTAGTCATTTGATAAAAGAAAAATGATATGAATAAATTATTGAAAAATAGAGAACAAATTTCACTTACCTTAAAATATTCTGTTCATCTCTGTCAGGTGTCCCAACGGCAGGGGGAATCAAGAGAGGTAAGTGGAATTTACCCAAAAATTGAAAGACACTTTTTTTTTTGGCCTGGGACATACTAAAAAGTGCATGCCAGTGAGCCTGACTAAAGGGGCTTGGCCTTTACTAGGTCAAGGCTCTCTAGCTGAGCCTCGACAAGCCTGGGACTTTTTTAGAGCCTAGGTGTGCCCTTAACAACTATGGTATGGGATGACACTATTGCAATCCAAGCACGATTAGTCAAACGTAAACACATTTATTTCATGTCGTATCAGTTATTGTCACTCCTACCTAGTATTTTTATTTCGGGTTGGATCAGTAATAGCAGGTTCATTCTTGTTTGAGGTGGTGGTCTATGTTTTCAAAATTTTAAAACCTAGACCGAATGCTTGCATTTATGATTGGATCATTAATAGCGGCACATGTCGCGTGACATCTCTCCCATTGCCATCCCCTATATGCCATGTTGCAACCGAGCTGCCTCCCACCCCTTTTTGGTTGTTAAGAAGACCCTCTCCTTTTGTTCGCCTCTTCTTTTTACGTGCTTCAGGCGCTTGCAAAGACCCTTGTCCCCAACCTCTCTTGTCCCTTTTACCTCTACTTCTCATATTTCAATTTCCGGCATACTTCCGATGCACACTTGGCTTCGTCCTTCTCTCACCACCAATCCTTCTCTTGAGTTAACAACTTCTCATGTTGATCTCTGAGCGATGCTACTGTCAGAGTCAATTCTGACATGGTTCTTCCAACACAGCCACCTGATAAAACACCTTCCCGTCCCCCGCCATCACAAAAGCGGGTTTCTCCTCTCTGTCCAGGCCTAAAATTTTATTCTTTTCATGTTTACCTTTTCATTTGCTTTTACGCCCTTAAAATCACCACACTGATCCCCAATTGCAACGAATTGTGGATGGCACCATAGATGGAGCTGCACACCATACAATAGAATTCGCCATTCCTTGCTCTTCCTCATAATGCCAGAGAATCCCACTCTGTATTTAAAAAAGCATCTCCCCACTATGGTTTTCCCTTTTTTAAAACCTTATTTGCCTCATTGCGAGAATGTAGCTTGAATAGAAGTATTGGGTCCCCGGCAATGAAGTCACACACCTCAGTCATCACCATTCAAGACTTCATAGCCCACTCTTCTGTCTTCTCGAGGCTTGCGACTTCTGTGTAGAAAAAACCAAAAAGGCACAGTTATTAAGTCTCTTTCCTTCTCTCGGCACTCCCACATCCACTTTGATGTGCCCTCCATTTGACGACAATAGCCCGAAAGTGAGAATGCGCGGTAGTCTTACTACCTCCAAAAACCTTCTCCTCTTCATACAGACTTGTCACAAACATAAGATCACGCTAAAGACAGGTCGACGCTTATCCTTGCCCTCTCTATCGCGCAAAGAATATAATGCAACTCTCTATTGCTGAAGATATCTTGAAATGCTGATGCTCAGTCTTTATAAGTAACATTACATCATCTATCAACGGAATTTTGTTTCATTACTTCTAATCCATGCCTTGGACTTGGAGTACTAATGCCCAGTTGCAAAGGTCAAATTGCAGTCTTTTATTTCTATCGTTCGAGAACATCAATTCCATGCTTGTCATTGCTAGTTTTAAAAAATGAAGACTGCCCGTAATGAGAGCATGTTGTTCACAGCATGAAATGTTTCGAATATCTAATTCAATCTGAATTTTTACATTGTGTTTAGCTATAACTTCCCTCTTCTAGGGAATTTTATTATTATCATAGTTAGTAAATTACGCTAAGGAAAAAGAGAAGAAGAAGGATTTGGGAATGTATGAGTATAATTCGACTTTTTTTTTATTTTTTTATTTTTTTTATTATTTTTTTTAATACATTGCAAAATTCGGCCAAATAAACGGAAAAGAAAAATACGAATACGGATACATACATGTATAACACGTATGAGGTGAAAATTCGGGACAAAAAATTAAGCTATACACATCTTATATATTTTCTTCTATATCATATACTTGTAAAGACAATAAAAGAAAATGTTACAATTAATAAAATAAATCCCATTTTATGCAAATTTACACCGTATGCCTCAACTTCCATCGTAGAATCTGGTATTAGCTTCGTGCATAAAGTTGAGTAAGTTGGTAATTTGTATGATTGAGTCATACAACGTAAATTCTAGGACTCAAATACAGATACACTCTTCACGAAATCAATAAAAGATCGAGTCTGAACCACATTGAATTGAATATCATTCGAAATAATATGCTTAGCAATTTTTTTATTTACCTCACTCCTATTTATTTTCTTAATTATTTCTGGCATGGTGTATTTGATGTGAACCCTTTGAAGATGAGGGGGGAAATTTAACAAGTCTACATTGTTCAACATCAGTTGAAGTAATGTAGTCTCAACTTTTTTTTTTTGTTCAGACCACCGGTTGCTAATAGTAATGTAGTGCTTGAGAAAAATATAGAATTAAAATTGAAATGTAAATAAAAATAATTGGGTTATCAGGAAACATAAAATAGATAAATAAATAAATGAATTAAAGGGCTAAACATATAAAATCGTTTCATTTGGGTTAATAGTGAAAACCGTATCTTTCAAACTTCAATTTCAAGCGGGAGCATTTCCCAAAGCATCGTACGTACACGTCTAATTCGTGAATTTACTTCCAGGATTGTCATTTCTATTTTTGTACCTGATTCTTAAAAACAATCAAGAAAGATTCTGGCTTCATGTGATTAAAATGTTTATCTTTTCGTTGTTATTTGTTACTATATTTTTGCCTTTAATGCTGTTTTTATATTTTGCCTCCTTAGGAATCCTTCATCGAATGGTGCGTGCCATTTACATCAAGGAAGGAAATTTTCCAAACATTGACAATTTTATTGCAAGTTCTGTATCTTTTATCAACGAAGGAAATTTTAAAAGCATCCACAATTGCATCCCCAATTTAGTCGTAAGTTCAATATATACATAACTTTAATTTTTAATTTTATTTTTTATCTAATTCAGATTTTTTTTAACAATTATATTGTTTGATCTTTAAACAACATGTTTTTTGTGGACCCCAACAACTTTTTTTCGAACAGAAGCACAACATTATATTAGAAAATTATGGGTTGTTCAAAAAGGGCAACACTGATTGGCATGTGGCTGGGGTTTCCAAGACCAGATATATCTCGATAAATGACTTCATGTGGTTGGTACTCTGGATTCCTAAAAAGTACAAAAAAAGGATTTATAATTACCTGTTTAAGCAGCAAATTTATGTTTTGGAGAGTTCTCCAATGACACTATTAAAATACTCAGTACTCTGTTCTTGGAGAGCACCATTCGATGGACAGTACAAGTTAAATGTTTCTGTGTTTTTTAAGAAAAATCTTGGTGGGACCAAGGAAGCTTGTTGTGGAGAAGTATTAAGAGATTGTAGGGGAAGGATTTTGGAAATTTTCTATAAGCCATTTCCTGATGCAACATCTAGAGATGAAGTATTGTTACTTGGAGTGCTTCATGGGATAGATGAAATTCTTAAAAGGAGATTGGAAGCAAAGGATATATTATTGGAGATTAACCATAAAAAAATTGTCAAGGTGCTAAATCGTGAGAACGATATACCAATTGAATGTCTTGGACTTTATCAGTAAGTTTTTTGTATAAAGTTCGAGTTTATTCTTAAAATTTATATTCAAGTTTCCAATTATATTGATATAAAACTATTGTGATGCAGCAAAATTTTTGGTTCGTTAGAATTTGATAAATATGAAATATCGTTTCAATATTTTCAAGGAAACACGGTAGCTAATAGAGTTGCGTATATAGCTTCGCATCTGACCGTGGGACAGAGTTTTCCCATAGGCGATAGAGGTTTTGAAACAGAAGTCAGGCATGATTGATTGAATATTCCGCGATATGAGATCATCCCGAAAGAATCGTTTGATGAGGAATTTGAAGTCTGGTACTTTTACTTTTCTTATAGTATTCTAAATTCCTGAAATGAGAAAGTAATTACTGTGATCTTGTGTTGCTCACCCGGCATTAGAAACAAAAATAAATAATAAGGGGAAATTTAAATTTCTCTATTTCATCAGTATTAAAGTAATCCTTGTAAGTTTGTGTTTTCTATATATTCTAGACTCCATCATGACAATCACACTTATTTCTGCTCCTATAAGCCTATTTTTACTAATACAATTTTCTTTACCTTTATTCTAGTAAATTACTCCGTATAAAGTTATCTAGGAGAAAAGAATTGTTAGCTGAATATATTTTCTGCAGATTGTTATCTGGTTCATTATGCTAGCAGCGAGTAGCTTATGAGCTGATCACAATAACAATGCCCTTTCACTGATTGTTCTACTCCAGTTTGTGCCCGCACTATATTTGATTTTCCTATTAAGTTCACTACTTATTAAAGCAACTGGTGTCGTCACAAAACCAGTTTTTAGCAAGGGATGCATATAATCTGATATTGTACATGTTTGCTTACTATGTAACTTTAAATTAAATCAATTTATGTTATTTATTTGTCACTTTATGCTTTTAACCAATTTAGTTTAAAACTTCTACCAGTGTTATGCCATTTGTGCTCATTTTTATCACTTTAATATTCCTTTTCTCAATTTTTTTTGTTTTTCCCTCTCTCTCAAGAGTTGCGTAATTGTGTTGGAATTGATGATTCAATTTTGTTCTTCCAGGTTTTAGGGGCACCATGGTATTTGCTGTCAGTGGACTGGTATGTATCGTGCTGGAAATCATATTGCAAAAAAGATTTTAGCCCTACAAAATGCCTTCTTAATTATTTGGAAAACTGGAATGTGACGCTCTTGACCATGACGAGGATTGCAAGAATTGGGCCAATAGTACAAACGTTTTTAAGAGTTGGATCCTGACAATCATGATCACTTTCAAGTATGTAATATTTTAAAAATGCAGTGACAAAAAGTGGTCTCCTCAAAGTTTCTTGAAAAGTCGGTTGGGTTTCCAAAACTTTAGGAATGTTTTCTCCAATTTTTATTACTGGTATCCACAAACAACGAGGTTGTCTTTATTTCATTATTAGCAATTAGCATCAGTTCTGTATCCATTTTGAAAGTAATAATTCTCGTTCCATAAAACTTAAATGTGGAACGTCCCAATGTAAATTTATCATATTAGGTGCATCCAGCATGAATAATCGGCTAATTATTTGTTTGTATCTTATCATCATCGAATGAAATGATTATATATGTTTGGATATCTTTCTTTTCCTGTACAATTTAATTTTTTTTTCCCTTTATTTATTATTTTTTTCTTTGTTACTAAATCCAATGTCTATCTTTATACATCTACGGACACTGTCGATGAAATTCTTGCTCGATCATTACCTTATATATATCGAAAATGATTTCTTGTTTACTAATGAGCAAGAAATTCAATCACATTATACGGTTCCTTAGATATGATGGCTATATATCTACCCTATAGATATTCAAATTCCCTTATTATATAAAAAATATGCAAGAAACACCCCTATTAGAAAAGAAAAAAAATAAAATAAAAAATTGAATACAACTCATTGTATTATTCATCTTTTGAGCAATTTGTCCATCATTGAATGGATTCCTTGAAAAAGAGCGGCTAGTAATATTATTTTTTAAAAAAAAATTTAAAAGTGCTATTTTTGTTTGACAATAATGTCCCTACTAATTTTGTATGTATTTGAATATTAAATGGTTTTGTTTGAATGTGTTTCAAGACCTGTCCAAGGAAAATTCTTTGTATTGTCATAGTCTGTCTCTTTAAAAAATATATTCTCTCTAAAATATTTTTTATGGCCGCCGATATTATCTCTATTTCTATTTTCTTTTTCTCCTAAAATTTTTTCTATGCCAATATTATCTCCTCTCCGAATGATAGATGCACTATATTTTATTGTAAATGAATGCGCCCCCCTTAATTATATATTTATCTATATCTATAATAATAATAATATTATTATTAAATAAATGGATTTGCTTTGATTCAAATTGTTATCAGATGAACTTCAGATTTCTATCAAAATTAAAATTTTGATCTAGTTACTCTTCGGCTGAACACATACTCAAGCAACACATTTTTTTTTTTAAAAAAATTGTTTATTTTGTTTTATTTTATTAATGTCTATTTTTATCATATAATGTGCAAGCCAAACTTTTTGAGTTTACTATTAACTTTTTTTTTCTCTTTTTTTTTCCAAGTCCGTTTACCATTAACTTTTCAAGCACAATTTCTCAAAAATCATTAATAAGTAGGATAAAATACAGTTAAAAAAAAAAAATTATAATTGATAAGTGAGATTGACGTGTAGTTAGTGGCGTATGTCTAAATTTTTTTTTTAGCAACTATAGATTTATATATAGATATTCTTGAATGTATTGGAAGGACAATGGTTGAATTTGGTAAAAGGTAATTAGACACCCACATTCCAATTTTGTTTTAAATATTGGGACACTGATTTATAATCCTTATACTGTTATGTTATGTTTTGATTTTAAAGGTAATTTTGATATTTTGCCCCCCTTTTTTTACTAATGTTAAAGTAAGGTTAATTTAGTAATTTTATCACCAAAATTATGATTTGTCATTTTTTACACTTAACCTCTATATATATATATGTGTGTGTGTGTATTTTTGGTAAACTACTCGTGGTTCGTAATGGAAAAATGCATATAAATTGAGCACCCATTTTTGGTAAACTACTCATGGTTCGTAATGGAAAAACGCATATAAATTGAGCACCCTCTTGGATTGAAGGTATGAATTCAAATTTTAGTTTTGTTTTGTTTCTTGATTTTTTCTTTTTTAATTTTTTTTTTTTTCTCAATATATATTTTTAGCTTTTGTACAAGGCATTCATTGAATAGAACATCATCAGTTAATAATCATATATAAGTCTTGTCAAATTTGGTTTTGAAGATATCCACTTTATCAATTTTGTCACCTTCGCTCCTTCTGACTCCAATTCCGAATCATATATTCCAACTAACAATTTGGATTCGGACTCGCGCTCCAAACAACAACTTCCTCACGCCCGAAATCACGAACGCAAATCCTCTGATGTAATTATTTCAGTAGTTTTCTGCAGCGGAATAATTCTTCTCCCTATATGCAAGCAAATATAATATATCTCTACTTTTATATGTGCTGAAAATAATAGAGAACAAATCAATCACAACAAGCCACAAGAACACAAGCAATTTTTTACGTGGAAAACTTTCCCAGTGTGAGGAAGAAAAACCACGAGACCTAGTCAAGTTAAAATCTCCACTATTAACCAAATAATGGGTACACAAAGTCTTCTCTAATCGCAATTAGAGGTTACAAAATGTCTCATCAAGATAACAACAATCTTGGCAAAAAGAAAGAGAATTGGAGAGAAAAATACCAAAACCCGGTTACTGTTTACAGGCACGAATCACTGTTCCCGAGTGCAAAATCCAATCTTCACCGTTCATATTTTAACTCATTGAGTCTTGAACCTCTCCTCTAAATTTCAGCTCGATCGGACCACGGACGAAGCGGGATCGGATATTTGATGAAATCTGGGCAGAATAGAAAAACCTGCGTTTTTCTACCAAAACCAGGTTACTGTTCACGAGTACGAATCACTGTTCCTGAGCTCAAAATCTGATCTCCATCGTTCAGATTGTGCGTCACTGAGTCATGAACCTCTCCTCCAATTTTCAGCTTGATCTGACCACGGACGAAGCGGAATCGGACATTTGATCAAACCTGGGCAGAATGGAAAAACCTGTGTTTTTCTTCTCTTTGTTTTTTTCACTTGCGGCTAACCTCTCTCTCTTTTTATACTAACTTCCTTAGGGTTTTCTTTTCCCTAAAGGCTGGGCTTTGAGCTTTTAATAAAACCCACTTGGGCTTTCCTCCATATAGAAGGAAATAAACCCAACAAATCTCTCCCTTTCCGACTATGTGAAGGGAATCGCCATCCCGGCGATCGAATAACAAACTTCAAACTTCTCCCTTGGTAATATCTTTGTCAACATATCAGAGCCATTATCATCAGTGTGAACCTTCTCAAGTTCAAGTAACTTATTGTTCAACGCATCTCTGATCCAATGGTATCGTACATCAATGTGCTTAGATCTTGCATAGAAACTGGAATTCTTAGCAAGATGAATAGCACTCTGGCTATCACAAAACAACACATACCTCTGCTGCTTGAAACCAAGTTCTCTCAAGAACTTCTTTGCCTATAGGAACTCTTTAGTCGCTTCCGTTGCTGCAATAAACTCTGCGTCTGTCGTAGAAAGAGCAATACACTTCTGAAGTCTCGATTGCCAACCTACAGCCCCACCTGCAAAAGTGATCAAATAACCCGAAGTAGACCTACGAGTATCTACATCCCCTACCATATCTGCATCTGTGTAGCCAACTAACAATGGTTGTCCGTTTCCCAAACCAAGTCTTAAACTGGAAGTGCCTCGAAGATATCTCATGATCCACTTCACTGCATTCCAATGCTTTCTTCCCGGATTTGACAAGAATCGGCTAACTACACCAACTGCATGGGCTATATCTGGTCTTGTGAAAATCATTGCATATATCAAACTTCCTACTGCTGAGGCGTAAGGAACTCTTTCCATGTCTTTCTTTTCCTTATCTGTAGAAGGACATTGCTTTGTACTCAGTCTGAAGTGGGTAGCAAGAGGAAAGCTAACCACTTTAGTGTTGTCCACATTGAACCTCTGAAGCACTTTTTCAATGTACTGCTCTTGTGACAAATATAACTTCTTGGCACTCTTGTCACGACTGATTCTTATGCTAAGAATTTTCTTTGATGGCCCCAAATCCTTCATAGCGAATGACTTACTCAATTGCTTCTTCAACTGTTCAATCCTTGAAGCATTCCTGCCAACAATCAACATATCATCCACATAAAGCAGTAGAATAATAAAATCATCATTAGAGAATTTTTGAACAAATGCACAGTGATCAGAAGTTGTCTTCTTGTAGCCTTGCTCCCCCATAATAGATTCAAACTTCTTATACCACTGTCTCGGTGCTTGTTTCAAACCATATAGGCTTTTCGTCAGCTTGCACACATAATTCTCTTTCCCTTTCACTTTGAAACCCTCTGGCTGCTTCATATAAATCTCTTCTTCCAAATCACCATGAAGGAATGCAGTTTTCACATCCATCTGCTCAACTTCCAAGTCAAGACTAGCTGCTAGGCCGAGTGCTATACGGATCGATGACATCTTTACGACTGGAGAGAAGATCTCATCAAAGTTAATACCTTTTCTCTGACCGAACCCTTTGACAACCAATCTAGCTTTGTACCGTGGCGGTGAAGATAACTCATTTTGCTTCTTCCTATAAATCCACTTGTTTTCTAAAGCTCTTTTTCCTTTAGGTAGCTTCACTAACTCAAAGGTGTGGTTATCATGCAATGACTGCATCTCATCTTGCATGGCCTCAACCCATTCTATCTTTTGTTCATCTTCTATGGCTTCTGAAAAACACTGGGGCTCTCCCCCGTCAGTCAATAACACATACTGTTCTGCTGAATACCGAGTGGAAGGACGTCGGTCTCTGGCAGACTTCCTGGATAGAATCACTGGTGGAATCTCTGGCGCTGTCAACTGCTCATCAGTCTCAATATCTCCCTGAACCTGTAAGGGAACATCCACATCACATGTACACTGGTGGTCATCCTGACCATCATTCTCAACCTGAGATGGCAGATTCTTCAGAGGAGCTGGATCCATATCGTCAAGATATCACCTTGTTGAGACATAAATTTCCCTGCTTTCTCAATATCCTGAATCGTCTGATCTTCTACAAACACGACATCTCTGCTTCTCACAATTTTTTTCTCAACTGGATCATAAAGCTTGTACCCAAACTCATCTTGGCCATAGCCAAGGAATATACACTGTCGCGTTTTCAAATCAAGTTTGAACCTTTCATCTTTTGGAATATGCACAAATGCTTTGCACCCAAAAACTCGCAAACGATTATAGGATACATCCTTACCTGTCTAAACTGGGTCTGGCACAGCAAACTGTAGAGGAACACAGGGTGTAAGATTCAACACATGAATAACTGTGCTCAATGCCTCCCCCCAAATTTTTTTTGGCAATTGGGCTTGTGAAAGCAAACATCTCATTCTTTCAACTAGTGTCCTGTTTATCCTTTCTGCTACGCCATTCAACTGAGGAGTTTTTGGAATTGTCTTTTGATGCCGGATACCCTGT